TCCATCATTTCAGTTTTGTACCACGTCCATCATATCCTTAAATTTTCTTTCTTCTAGAACATTATCAAAGTTGTTAGGAAAACTGACCACTATAACACAAAGTTCTGACAGGAAACAAACCAAAAAGTGTTTTTGTTATTTGTTTGTAAATGGTTCTGCTGAAAGCATGAGACCAGAAATAATTCAAGATAATCTAGACAGAAATACATGACTAGATTCTGAATTGTTGTTTAGTATGGTTTGTACTGAAGAATATAAAACTAGTTCCCTCTGGACTCTCAGACAATGACACTCTCACTTGAGTCAGTATCCTACTATCTTCTGGATATACCAAAAAATGAATAACCAGTGAATGACTTCACCTCTTAAAAATTACTTACACTTAAAGATTAGGATGGGATTGGATTTCCCCCTTTAAAAAATGTTTCTAGAGCTCCTAAGAAACTCACATTTACAAAAGAGTTTATAAGAACATTCCTCTGGCTTGTAGAAAAAGGGATACAGGGCATCTTGAGAAACATGACACATGATCAGTTGGGCTTGACTATTTTGTCTTCTGCTCTGGAGGCTGGACTCTAGTTTTCAATGTCTCTGTTTCATGCAGATAAATCTTCATTAGTTCCTTGGTTAGTTACCCCAGCTTGTTTGCCTTTTGCTATCCTTTTCCCTTTTATTTGCACTCTTTTTGTCTGATGACTTATTTGAGCAACATACGATGCTGGAAGATCATATTGACTGTCCTGCTATAGTAATATACAATGAGTAGCTAAAATGATCAGTTTTGAGCTGTAACTTTTATTTAAGTGTTTGCAGAATATTTCCTGATGCTACCTTGACAGGGTTGGCTTTGACTTACCAGCCTTGCAAGGTAGCACTGAGGCTCCTCCTTGGCCCTTCCATGCTGACCTTTCTCTTGGTGATCATGGGGTTGGGAAGACCACCTGAGTGGTGGGAGAACTATATGGAACTGGAGTAGAGTCATAACCATGACCCTTGGTTTCCCTACACCACTGGCCAGACACCCCAGCCTTTGACAAATGTGACTCTGTCATTATTTAAAGGCTATGCTTTCCTGTAGTCATTACTTTATGCATATATATACATATCAAGAAATATATTTAATAACATTGTGGTCTATATGTTAAACATAGTTTAGAAAACAAAAAATTCAGAGGTGGAAAAGTAAGCAGAGAATATCATATAATGTTATATATATGCATATATATATAATAACAGTTATATATGTGTGTATATAACAACATGGTTTTATATATGTAATGAGATAAAATACAAGATAAGCTACATAATTATACTTATTTTACCAAATTTAGGACATCTTAACTCACTATAAAAGCCAAACAATTTTCTTGATACCTTGTTATGCACTAATTATTTAATTTATATTCAAAGTGCTGAGTCTTTTAAAATTATGTTTTATATTTGGTGAATTAAAATAAAAATACTTCCCAGACTGGTCTGGATACACACACACACACACACACACACACACACACACACACACACACACACACACACACACACACACAGTCTCTCCCTCTCTCTGGAACATGACATTTCTGTCAAGTCGTAATTTTTAAATTGTACTTATCCTACCAAAAGCAATGGAAACATGCTAATTTAAAGGACAAGTCTGAAGTGAATAAAGGCTGAAGTAAAAATGTAAGGTAATTGAAAGACTATTAAACTAAATATAAATAGATTTTATGTAAAAGTCTCAACACTGAGCACTGGAGAGGTATCTCAACACCAATATGATGGCTCACATCCATCTGAAATGCCAATTATAAGGGGTCTAATGGAGGGATTTAATGGATGGATCTAATGTCCTCTTCTGGTCTCCTTGAGCACCAGACATGTATGTGGTACACATACATACAGACATAACACCTATACACATATGGCATATTGGTTTACTAGAGTTTTCAGGCACTAATGTAAACTAAAAGAAACTAAGGCATATGTTCTCTTCTGAACATATTTGTTAGGAGAGCAAAGTCTAAATCTGTATGGGCCATTAAATCTTTCAGTGGACTTAATAATGTTTACCCTGCACAGACTGCATACATATATAGAAGAAAAATTAATTACTTCCTAAGAATTAGTCTGATAGGTACTATAAGGTATGCATATCTATATGTAATCTGGCCTAAATTCCGTACTATGATTTCAAAGAAAAAGTACACCTTGATTAGCTAATGAGGGAAGGTGTCACTACTTATATTGAGGAGTGAGTCTAAGTTTTGTATTTTAGATAATACAGAGAAAGTTATCTGAGACTTAGACATATAAATGTTCTAAGCATACTTAAGGGAAAACTAGAGGCAATTTTGACAGGATTAGTTATAGAGATAGGGTCTCACATGTATCTCTGACTATGTAGACTTTACTGGTCTCAAACTCACAGTGATCTATCGGCCTCTGCCTCCTGAGTGCTGGGATTAAACGTGTGCACTACCACTAATAGTTAATATATTACTTTTCAAGAAGGCAGGATCTAGTTACAGAACAGTGGTTCTCAATCTTTCTAGTAGTGTGATCCTTTAATACAGTTCTTCATTGCTACTTTATAACTCTTAATTTTCCTACTGTTATGAATTGTAATGTAAATATTTATGGAACCATAGATTTGCCGAAGGGGTTGTAACCCACAGGTCTACAACAATTATTTAGTGCTAGACTAGGTAGATAAATGGAAGAGGTGGGACCTGGCTGAGAAACAATATTGAGAAGAAATCATTTTTAGAGAAGTATAAACCTTTAAGTGTTTCACACAAAACACACACACACACACACACACACACACACACACACACACACACACACACCAGATGAAAGGAGACTAAAAGAGCAAGGATCAGAGTTGAAGAAAGGCATTGAACCTTGGCAGTTACACCATCAAGAGACAACCTGAAATAGACAGCTTGGCTTGGGGTGATGTGCATAGTAGGCTAAAAACCCTGTGTCTTTAAGGAAATCATTTTGTTTAAAACAAGATTCTGATCTGTTGATGTTTGCCCCTATATGTCTAGGTGAGATATTGACTAGGATAGGTATTGACTTTTGCTTCCATGGTTTCATCTTCTTCAGGAAGAAGGCAATCCCAGATGACATCTCTTACCTCTACCATTCTGACCTCTGGAGTGGCAGCTGCTCTTTGAAAAGCCTAGCCCTTGCTTCATAGTCCTTTCCTTTGTGGTTCCCACTAATGACAGAAATAGGCTTGATTCTTTCTAAAGAGATTGATTAAATATTAAAGAAGAACAAGGAGAAATTAGAACAAAATAAAATCAAGAAGTCCTGCCAGATGTTTTAGCATCTTTGATATTACTGTCTCCAGTGAAGCTATCCTCAACTCTTACTTCTCCTTTCCCCACATTTGCCAATGATATCCCCTTAAAATCCAGCACCCGGCTTAACTCTTTCAAGTCATCATTTGTACATGGATGAATTAGCCTTTACTGTATTGGCTTTTTCCTAATGCCTTCCCTGAATAATTTCACTTGAAAGGTTAGGAGACATCTGGGACTTAAACTCTTGGTTTCTTATAACAGCGTATGCAGAGGACTTCAAGGTGAAATCCCAGTGAGAGGGATTTCTGGGATAGTTCTGTACCCTAATTTAGCTTGAAGAGTTAGCCTTTTTATTGGCACATATTAATTATATAGTAGTGGATTTTATTATACTTTTATATATGTATATAATGTATTTTATCATATTCATCCTCCATTACCCTCCTTCTTATAGGCTTATATCAGCATTTTATAGATTTATTTTTACAGAGAGCCTCTCCTTTGAATCACATACTTTTAACACCCTTCAGGGTATACAGAGTATACTTTGTGATGAATTTGATATAGAAAATGTTTTATCAGCCGAATGTTGGTGGCACACGCCTTTAAGCCCAGCTCTTGGGAGTCAGAGGCAGGCGGATCTCTGTGAGTTCAAGGCCAGCCTGGCCTACAGAGTGAGTTCCAGGACAGCTTCCAAAACAATACAGAGAAACCCTGTCTCGAAAAACCAAAAAAAACAAAAAAAAAACAACAAAAAAAAAAAAACAAAAAAAGAATATGTCTTATCTAGTTGTGAAGTTTCAGTCATTTATTCTTGATTCCCCTACTGAGCTTCAGTGAAGTTTCTTAATGGACTGATAGATCATATCTTTTCACCACACACACACACACACACACACACACACACACACACACACACACACACACACACACACACACCTGCATTTAGCTGCTTAGAAACACATTGAGGGCTTGACAAATGACTAGTAAATAGTAGCTTCATGGTTTATACTTGTAAGAAATTTAAGCATTAACTATATACATTGGCTTCTGCATATATTATATGTTTATGCTTTTTCCATCTATAAAACAATTGCAATTTGTATATTTCCTTTCTTTCTCTTACACTTTTGTTGTCAGGATTCCATGGTCTTTGATTCATGATGTTTATTGGAAGTAATTGTGGGCTGCTTTGCCTCAAGGAAAATTTGATTATGGGCACTGCTGTTTGACACCATTCAGGAAAATGCTACATGGTGAAGGGTATTGTACTTGTCACAGAATGCTAAAGAAAGAAAGGCACAGACAGGCAAGCTAATAATATGCTAGCCTGGTTATTAACATCCAGCCTTTGGCATTTTTGCTTGTCATCTTTTGTTGATAAGTCTGTCCTCCTAAAAGATAAGCATGTGGCCAATTTGATGAGTTTTATTGGGAAAGGGCAAAAACTAATGCCAGATAAAGAAGGTCACAGTTAAGTTGATAGAGACAGTCCACGCTTTCCAAAATACTGTTTCTATCCTCTGAGGTTAGGTGTCTGTGATCGAGAAAATAGTTTTGTCAGAGAGCAAGATTGGAATGCATTGAAATGAAATGCTCACCCTGACTACATCAGCTGTAATGGAGCTTATCTGATGTAGTGACTCAGCCTCTGTGAATCTGACTGTGTATGTGCTCTGTTTTGTACAGAGAATCATCATCCAGGACCTGCCAGAAGCCACAAGAAAAAAATGGGGAGGGGTAAGTTTCTCTTTCCTTTTCAAATGACTTAGATTCTCTTAATGGTAATCTAGTGTACCCAGGGAAATTGAGACTAGAAGTATGTTTATAGACACTTACATTGTGTTTTTTCTTGGTGATGGAAAATTTGGTCTGATCCAATGCTGTGCAGAAAAAGACCAACATACTATATATTCCACACTGGTTCTTTTATATCTTCTGATACTTGGTTTTGGTGGTGGTGGTGGTGGTGGTGGTGGTGGTGGTGTGTGTGTGTGTGTGTGTGTGTGTGTGTATGTGTGTGTATGTGTGTGTGTACGCATGTGCATGTGTATATATCTCCCAATATAGGTAGAAATAGTTCAAATTTAACACTATATAATTCTTCCCAAATTACCCATATGCCTTTATGGTATCTAGGTTTTTGTTAATTGTAACACAAATGGGCTGGATGAGTAACTAAGAGCCCTTAACTTATTTACTGCTCATTCAAGGACCTGGATTTGGTTCACCGTAGCAACACCAGGCACCTCACAATTGTCTGTAACTCCAGTTTCAGGTTTTCCAGTACTCTGTGGCCTCTGTAGGCATGTGTGTATGTGTTGAACTCACAAATTCATTCAGGCACACAAATATACACATACATAAAACAAATTACTAAATATTTAAAAAATTTTAAAAGAAAATAACACAAATAAAAAAGCTCATTTCATGCAGTCATTTTTTTAGTTTGATAAAAATGAAATAAACACAACACAATTAATGTATTCTCTTCTCTTTTTGGTTGTGAGCTTTTAATGGCTGAGTCCTCTCTCCAGCCAGTATTCTAATCTCTTAAGGGATATGGTAAAAAAAATCCCTAAGCTCAGAAAAAATACATAAATAACAACAACAAAATATAACAATCACTGGTCGTCAGTCCTTCATAGACTAAGATTCTTGAAAGTCGGGAACATGGTTGAGTTCTCTGGGGTAAAAAAAAGACAAGAAAATGCATTTGACCAAGAGTTACATGGCAGTACGAGGAAAATGACTTACAGTGCACGCAGTACATCTCAGTTCTTTGCAATTCTGAATGTCAACTTTGGCATAAAGGTCCATATTTTCAAACAAGGAATAGCTCTTCAAATTGACAAGCTGTAAAGTGACAGTCTCATAACATATGGCCTAATTTTATTTGGAAGCTCCCTGCTTTGTATAGTTCAAGTAAGGGCATTGATTTAAAGTCAATTAATTATTTCATTTTCTTGCCTCTATTAGGTCGGAGAGTCTCTTTATTATGGTGACATTTGTGTTGCTGCAGTTTAAATGATGTCACTCTTTTATTGTAAGCACTTATCTTCCTAATTTTATAACAGTAATACAAATCTACTTGGGGCTGACAGCTATCATTATTTATTCCTGGCATGTGTTTTCCACTAGAAAAAAATGGGCTGTTTAATGGACATGTTACTTCTTAAAACTCACTAAAGAAAAATTTTGTCATTAATGTAGTCTCTTTTTTACCTCTTGTATAGATTTGAGAATATAACACTTGGTGCATAAATTTACTTTTTAAATTACTTTCTATTATTTAAAATAGCTTTTACACAATTTTGCACATGTACACAACGTATAGTGACCACACTAACCTCTTACCTTCTCACCATCTCTTTTAACTCCCATTGTCCCTATACATCTCTGTCATGTTTATATTTGTTCATTTTGTTTTGTGACTGTCTTAGTTAGAGTTTCTGTAGCTGTGAAGAAACACAACGACTTTGGCAACTCTTATGAAGGAAAACATTTAATTGTGGTAGCTTGCTTGCGCTTCAGAGGTTTAGTCCCTTATCATCATGGTGGGAAACAAGGCCGCATGCAGGCAGACATGATCCTGGAGCTGAGAGTCCATAACATGTTGATCCAAAGGCAAGAGGAAGTGAACTGAGACACAGGGTGTGACTTGAGCATATATGAGACTTCAAAACCCCCCTCCACAATGACACATTATCTCCAACAATGCCATATCTACTCCAACAAAGCCACATGTCCTAAAAGTGCCACTCCTTTTGGGAACTATTTTCTTTCAAACTACCACAGTGACCCACTGAGATTAAGCAGGGCACCTATGTGATCATGGGTTTGGAGCTAATGGCTGGAACTTGGTGGGCTCATAAACAGTTATACAACTAAAGACAGTGCCATTTCCTTTCCTAGAGCCTGTCATTAAACTAATAGTTCAGAGGTAAAATAAAGGGCCCAATGATCATCCCTTCCTGGATGGTTTATAACACTGATCTTTTGAGGGCCCGGTTCAGGTACCTACATGTGTTATGATATACTGATTGCAATGGTTATGTTAAGTCCATAGAATGGTATTTCACAGCTCTGTACCATGTATTCTGGCTTTTACATGCTTCCTAATTCCCTCCTGCACAGTACTTTCTTAGCTTTAGAACTGGTTCTTTAGGACTGAACCCACAAACATTGTTTATTCTCTACATTCTGGCCAGCCATGAGACTGCATTCACCATCTTTCATTGTCAGAGGTGGCTGCTTTGATTAAGACTAGGAGTGGCTCTCGTCTGTGGGAATAAGCATTGCTATTTATCAACATATGTGTTTTTCATGGTTTCTTAATCTCAAAATTATTGACCCTTTTAAATTGAGTCGAAAGTGACGTAAGTATGGCCACTTTAAAGTATGTAGGTCAGCCAACAATTTCTAAACCACTTTGATCAGTCACAAAGACCCCATGCCCAGTAATCTTTATATTTCCTCCACCTTGAAGACACTGGAAATTTCTACTCTGCTTTCTGTCTCTATACATTCAGCTAGTTTAGATATTTCATATAAATAGAACCATGTTGTGTGATACTTGAGTTCCCTAATGATATATACTATAAAGCAGCAGGTCTCAACCTATGGATTATGACTCTTTTGGTATTGAAAAACCGTTTCACAGGGGACACATATCAGATATCCTGTGTATCAGATGTTTATATTATGATTCATAACAGTAACAAAATTACAGTTATGAAGTAACAACAAAAATAATGTAATAGTTGGGGATCAGCACAACATGAGGAACTCTATTAAGGGCCACAGCATTAGGAAGGTTAAGAACCACTGCTATAGAGTATTGTTTTGTAGATTCAGATTCATTTGATAGTTGTATACTTGTGTTTGGTGAAGTATTTGTTAAGGTCTTTGTCACATTTGTTATTCCATCTGTTTGGTATTTTATTCTTGAGTTTCAAGGGTTATGTATCCATTTAATGAAATATTTTTCTGTTGGGATTTTTGACTCAAGGTCTGAGTATGTAGCCAGTGCTAACCTTGAACTTTCAGTCTTCCTGCTTTTGCTTTGTGTAAAGGTCTTTTATCACTTATAATTTGTAAACTTTTTACACAGCCTATGGTTTGTCTTTCATCCTCATGATATGATTAGGTTTCTAATGAGTCAAAGTAAGAGCAGCAGATGGTTCTAGAGACCAATGCAGGTTCTAACCCTATAATCAAATGTCTGTGTTTTTTGTTTAGTCACATAGCCTGCATATTTCTATTTCCTAGTCAGTTAAATAAAAGGATTGAGATGAATCAGTGATTGCTGTTGTACTCAATGAAACATTACGTTTTCTGAAGGTGCCCCTGAGGGAAGGGAGAAAATGAAGGGCTTTAGACAGAATAGCCCCACTTTAGATTTTTTTTCTGTCTTTATTTCTTCCTATAACTTTCATTTGAAGAGGATTCCTTGGCTTGTTAACTTTAGGATAACAGCACTTGCTTAAATGAATCTCAAAAAGTGCTTTCCGCATTTTAGATCCTGTGATTCATGAACACTAATTTGCACCTACTGAATTCTTTAAGTGTGCAGAGAGAGAAAATGGAATCCACAGTTCTGCTGATCAATTCAGCTTTAATGATTATTAGATTGTTTCTTAGAAAAAAATTTTCGTATACATTTGTTAATATAGATATAGGCTTCCACGCTATCTACTAACTTGATCACAACTAAGGTCTCAGACCATACTTTGCTTCATGTAGACTTTTAACGGTAAGAAGGCATATATCCCAACTAGAGAGGTGGCTTAGTAGTTGAAAGCACTGGATGGTCTTCCAGAGGACCTTGATTTGATTCCCAGCACTACGTGGTGACTCATAACCAGTAACTCTAGATCCAGGGGTCTGATAGCCCCTTCTGGTGTCTATGGCCACCAGGCATACATGTGGTACACAGATAAACATGCAGGCAAGAATACCTGTATACATAAAATAAAAATTAACCTTTTGGTATATACTTGTTATGTGTCCTATTCTGTAACCCCCCTGAAATCTCATTGTTTTCTTAACCCTTTTAGATAGTATCACAGTGTCTTATATGAAAAATTCTTCTGACATATGTTGCAATATTCTAGCAATGCTATTTCTCTAAACTTTCTAGTTAGTTGAAAGTGTGCAGCAATACTCAAGTTAGCAGCTCCACACAGGGTCTTGTAAACTCAATACTGACCAGCCCTCTTAAGAATACTATGTTCAAGCTGAAATTCTATTTTATCATTTCTAGAGCTATCATTTCTAGAGCAAATTAATATTTAAGAGCTAATTTCACCACTGAAGTCATCCCTGAAATACATATTCTAAAAAAACCAAGAACCTATTCGTTACTGAAATTCCACTTCCCTGATTTGTTCTGTACTCTATTTGTAGATTAGAAAGAAGTATAATTGAATGTTTTTGTGATAGCTATGGAATGTGACATTTTGATTAAATATATATGTCTTACTAGGACAATTATTCACTATTAGAGTCTAGATTGAAGCTGTCAAATAGAATACATATAATACTGTCTATGTTGATGGATAGTAAAGCAATCCCTGTATCATAGATCTCCATCAAAGCTCTCAATGCATTTAAAATATGCTCAGACTGGCTCAGCCGTTAAGAGTATTGGCTGTTGTAATTACAGGTTTAAATATATATATATATATATATATATATATATATATATATATATATGCCCCATTAAGTGAAGATAAATAGTTCTTCCATTTGGGATAGAAAAATAATCATTATAGATGAGACCCATAAATCCAAAGAGACATTTTTGTTGTGGAAGTGTAAGTACTTTGACTACTTATGTACCTTGTTGATATAATTGACACATTAGTTACAACAGAAATAGCCATCATAGAATAGTCCTGTTTGGATGACTCCACACCATTGTGTATTCAATTACTCCAAATTAAACCACTGAATTTCTATATTTGATTTCTTTAGGGAAGCCATTGTCCCTAGTGTAGAAATATCATTGCTAACATACTGTAAATTTAAATCAGATGGTGTAATTGCTAGGAATTTGACAGAATTGTTAGTGGTATTATCATCTGCCCTTTCATGAAGAATTTTTTTAAAAGAGGTTACGAATATTAAAACTCCTTCAAAGAAAGTCAGCAGCTATTTACCTTCCTTTGTGGGAGACATTATTAGACAAATTCTGCAAATCTCTTTTTCTTTATGCAGCATAAAATCATTAGACAAAAGGCATCTGAATATATGACCTAAAATTTAGCTTTCATAAAGCCTTATTGAAGTAGTTAGTGTCACTGCTGATGAACCATGCTTATTTTGCTTTTAAAGAGTATTGAATTTATAGATATCCATTACCTCTTTTGTCTTCTCTGTTATACAAATCAAATCCTAGCATATTCTCTATACTTATTCCAGGAAATATGCCTGTTTTCTGGTATTTTATTGTATTCCTCCTGCACTACAATGATAATTTTTGAAGTCTTGGGTAGTCATCATACCCATCATGTCCCTAAAAGCCAGGTTTGAGACATTACAGCCTTTAATAACTTTTTCTCTCATATCTTTAGACATTCTGTCCTTATGAACTCTATTTTACAACTTCAAGTTAGTTTTTAAATCCCTGAACTCTTGAATAAGTTTATGACAACCTGATAAGGTATAACAAGAAATTTTGAATTATAAGTACACCAGTCATATAAATACCAATCTGTGGTTTCCATAAATAGGTTATTGTTTTAAGATAATACTGAAAAATATTGTTTTCCTACAATGCTCAGTCAAAGAAGATGGCCTAAGAAGCATCTTTTATTTGCATAATTTAATTATTTTAGTAAGGATAATTTTGCTTCAGAATGTGAGACTTTGTTTTCCTGAGGAGAGCTATTTCCATCAGTCTGATAAGAAGTGCCTATTAAATACCTAAGTCAGCATGAAAAATAAAATTAACAGCATTGTATTTCATGCAGACGCAATGAAGTAACAATTTTGCTCTTGCTTATGAGGAAGATTTTGAATGTGACACTTTATAAGATTTTTTTTTTCTGAGACAAGTTTTCTCTGTGTAGCCCTGGCTGTCCTGGAATTTTATCTGTGGACTAGTCTGGCCTCTAACTCAGAAACCTGCCTGCCTTTGCCTCCCAAGGCCTGGGGTTAAAGGCGTGCACCAGCTGCCAGGTGGGTCACTCACCTCTTCTTCTGACTGGTGTGGCCTGTGCCTGAGAAGTGGAAGTTTGCCAGGGTTGGGAGCAGGGCCCAGGAGTGGTGTAGGTGATTTTGATTTATCTTTAAACTGAAGATTGACCACAGAGCCTTACATATGATATCCATTAACATCATGCTATACACTTAGCTTCTAGGTTTGAGTTTTAAATTCCTAATACAAGTCCATTTGGTAAATGTCCCAAAGTAAGCCTTCCAGTCTGGATCCTGTCCAGTGTTTGGCCTACACAGGTTCAAGCCAGACAGAGTCTCATCATTGAGAAGGGAAAGTAGACATCCCTAACCAAGAAGATACCTGTATTTTACATTGCTTTGCTAAGGAAAAAATTAGTTTTCTTTAATGGAGTCTCACTGGACTTATTAATGACACTTATGAATAGGCCCCATGCCGAGTAGTAGATGACCAACACAAATGAACTCAATGGTATTTTTTTAAGACTTTTTGTCCCATTGCTTTGTTTGGTCATTTATTATCTAACTGGTCTTTTTGCTTGTATATTATGATATTCAGTTTTATGTTTTCACTTTTTTTCTGGTATGGATGTGTTTCTTGTGCTTTATCTTTGTTTTGTTTTTTTTAAATCATTTTCGTTGTTGTTTGTTTTGCTTTCTAAAGAGAAAGAAAAAAAACATGGAATTGGGTATCTAGGGAGGATTTTGGAGTCACTGAAGTAGGGAAAACTGTATCATATAAAAATATTTTCAATAAGAAAAGTATGGCATAAAAGAGATAATATGACTTCATAGCTTCCATATTCTCTACTCTCTTAAAAAACAATTAAAATTCTTTTTTACATGTGTATGTATGTGTATGTGTACATGTGCATACATGTGTGCACACATGGTTCAGGGAGTGTAGATGTGAAGGCTTTCACCTTCCACTGTAGATTTCAGGGATTAGAATCAGGTTGACAGGCTTGCTGGCAAGTACCAGATCAGCTGTCTCATAAGTTCCCTAATTCTTTTATCATTATGCAGTGTCCATTTGATTTCCAAACCACTTTTTAAAATACTATCAATGCTCTTTTCTTATTTCTTGTTCCCTGATACATGGCAGATAAAAATTATGTATAATACCATTTTTTACTATTGGTCAAATTTTTACTTCACATAGTATCTTCTAATTAAGTAGATATGTTAAGGAGATAAAGTTTACTTGGCAACATCTAAAGTTCTTAATATTATGTTACCTTGCTTCTTGGTAGAAGAAATACATAAGAGATGTTTATATGGGATGCTCCTGGTAATTTGATTAGTCTGGGATTAGAAGTTGGTGTCCTGATATATCACCTTTCAGTTAGCCTGCTTTCTACTTTTAGGAGTTAGCTAATTTCCTTAACTCTCATTTTCCATTTAGCTAGCATATGAGAAGATAATTCCCTCTTCATGGTATTTTGCTTTTTTCCTGTTGAAACTTCAAAATCTCTTAACTGTAGATTGTTTGATTTATGCTCAGGAAAATTGATCTAATATTTGGTGATATTTTAAAATGAATTACTCTATGTATTGTTTTTAGAAATAAGGGTGTTGAAAATTCTGATCCAGTTCTGATTCTTACTGGGTACTACATTCAGCATATCCAGCTACACAACAAACAGATGAAGAAGGAACACTTTTCACTCTGGATGAAGATTACCTTTCATGAAATTCAAATACAGATCAAGTTATGTCAATTAAAATTTATAATCTGAATTGAAATAAATCCTGTATAAAAAATAAAAACCAGATGAAGACATAGTGAGAAAAGAAGAAAATAAAATTTGATAATACTTAAAAAATATGTTGTGTGTGTGTGTGTGTGTGTGCGTGTGTGTGTGCATGCACATGCATGTGCAGTTGTCCAAAGAACCGAAGATGGGGTTGGAAGTTGGATCCCTGGGACTTGACTTACAGATAGTTTTGGGCCATTATGTGAGGTGTTGGGGACTGAACTTGAGCTCTATAAGAGCATCAAGTGCTCTTAACCCCTGAACTGTATTTTCATCCCCTGTAATATGCTTTTTGCAATGTTGGAAGTTTGTAAAATGGAAAGTTTCTAATTACATTAACAGAAATTTTGGTGGCATTGTATTTATAGACCAGTCAAATGAGACTCTTTTAGAAAAACATAAAGTAGAACTTAAATGTTCTTGTATATAAAATGCACCCCCATAAGAGTAAATATAGCTATTGTCTAATATATGTTTGTTTTTTATTAATTAATTCATTCATTTATTGCAGTGCTAGGGGTTGAATACAGGGTTATAGACACACCATTGAACTGTATTCCCAACCAACTGCTCATTTGTTTTTCAATATCTGCCCTCATTGTATAGCCCAAGGTAGTGCTGAATTTGCTGTGACTCATCTGTTCCACTGGTTTTCACAAGTGCACTTTGAATGTTTCTAAGATGTACCTTTATATTTAATGGAAGCAGCATTTTCTTTTATTTAAGGTTGATGAAGTGAGGTTGAATGCCTTGAAGTACAGCTACACTGTATTCAGAATGAAATTATTATTACTGTTTTATCAACTGAGGTGTAGACAAATTTATCTTTTATATTTCATTGATTTCAGAAAGTTCTTTAGAATATATTGTTTTTCTCTTACAAGTTTGAAAGATCTATAATGATACCTTGGCCATGTTAAGTTGTTTATTTGAGTAATGGTTCTCTAGGTTTATATTATTAGGTCAATTGGGTTTATATTTATTTTTAGGTAGGCAGAGACTTGCTTTTGGTTTGGTTGCAGAATGCCTTAGGATATCCACTTACAGTAATGAATATAAGTAGTGCTATCATTATTACTATTTTTAAACATCCACGGTGCTCAGGAATGTGCTAAAGTCTGAATATATAACATGGTTAATTATGTTACTGTTCCTGCCCAGGGCCGTGTTGACTAAAGCACACATTCTCATTGTGTGGAAGCTATCAAATGCTTCAGTTTGACGTTAAATATTATTTCAATCCTGATTTACTGAAAGATGTTTAGTTTGTTGTCTATGTTTTCTCAGGAGCATCTGGCAGTTTTCTTCTTGTATATTCACTTTCCACATGAGTTTCTTATTGCTTTTATATACTTAATATTATGTCTCTTTTTAGTTTTCCTCACGGGAGAAAAAGCCAACTCAGTATTAAAACGCTACCCAAGAGCCAATGGGCTTTTTGAGGAAATAAGACAGGGCAACATTGAGCGTGAGTGCAAAGAAGAAGTCTGCACATATGAAGAAGCAAGAGAGGCTTTTGAAAATCACGAAAAAACTGTAAGTATACTGGCAACTTCAAACATATTTGCAGAGGTGCTTACCTTTTGATGTATTTTAAACCCTACATTCCCAAAGTGCTGGTACTGCTTTCAACGAAAAGTTAACTTACTGAAGAAATAGCCTTGAAACGTCTAATGAATAGTGTTCTGTATAGGAGAGAACTAGATTTACTTCCCTCTGAATTGGTCTTTCATTGACAGCCATGCTCCCACACTGCTCTGCTTAGCTAGCAGTTATTATAGTGACAAGGCATTCAGTTCACACAAGACTTTGATCCAGAAAGTTGATGCTATCTTTTCCTTTCCATGCAGAGAGAGAGAGAGAGAGAGAGAGAGAGAGAGAGAGAGAGAGAGAGAGAGAGAGAGAGAGAGAGAGAGAGAGAGAGAATGAGAGAGAGAATGAGAGAGAGAATGAGAGAATGAGAGAATGGAAGAAAGTAAGGAACAGTGTTAATATTTTCTGTTTTTGTGTTTTTTTTAATTTCCCCTGGGTAGGTGTATAGCTCAATGGTAGAATGCTTCCCTTGTATGCTTGAGACTTCTGGTTCCAACTATTTTACCAGAGAAAATGTGTTTTAGTTCTCTCTACTTTTACACTTCTTTTCCGCATTTTACGAGAGTGCTTTACTTCCCTTTACTCTGATTACAGGCTATTGAGAGAACAGGGTTGAGAAGGCAAAAGCAAGGATGTAAATTGTGCAGGTGTGCTCTCCCGTTGCGAATTCTAACACCAGAGGTAGCTGTTGTTTAAAGATCCATGCCTGTGCACCAACAGAATAATACTATATGCTAAATAGGTGGCGTACGATGTGCTGTAGGGACATCAGATAAGCTGCAGGAACGGTGAGTACATATATGTTTTAAAGAAGCAAGGTTTGAGGTTTTGCCTCATTTAGAGATGAGAGGAGATTGCTAGATTCTAGTGCCCAAAGCATAAACAAACTCTGTTTATAAATTAGCAAACTATGATCTTCATCAGCTTCACAGATTTTACTTGTACTTATTGCCATATACAGAATGAATTATGACTATGATTTCTTATAACTGTCCAGTTGTCCAAACACCATTTAACCAACAGGTCTTCTTCACCATCGTCATTTTAGTTGTCCTTTGTTTTGTATTTCCTTTTGTTATACCTCTTTATCCTGGTTTCTATATGTGCTTTCATCTATTTCTGGATTTTATATTCTAGTTTATCTTTCTCTTGCAGAAGATATGTTGTGTGCTCTAATATAAATTAGAAGTAGTTCTACTTTGATATGGCATTCTACAGTATTTTATGAACTCTTCTTACCTATCCAAGAGACAATGGCCTGCTTTTTTCATGCAAATTTTAGCATTAAATTATCTAGCATAAGAAAAATTTTATCAGTATTTTTATTGGGATTTATTTCAGTTTGCACTGCTTCCCAAATAATCTGCTCTTTCCATGGTAAGTAGTAACTTCACCCATATACTTGTTATCTCTTCACAATAAAACAATTTGTTATGGTTTGAATACTAAGCGATCCCACAGGCTCATGTGTTGAAAGTTTAGTTTCCACCTCTTGGAAACTTCAGAAGGTAGGTCCTTAGGTAGAAGAAATAGACCTCTGGGGTTATGTTTTTGAAGGATATCATCTTCCTGCCCCTTCCTGTCTCCCTTAGCTGCCTGACCACCATTAGGTAGATAGCTTCCAATACAAGTTCCTGTTACCTTGATATTCGGTCTTGCCTCAGACTCAATGTATCCAACCAGCTATGCCTCCTAAACCATAAGCAAAATTTAATCTCCTTCCTTTAAACTGTTTCTCTCAAGTATTTGCCATAGCAACAGTATGTATGATTAATATATTACCACCACCATCTCACATGTATTTTTGTCCTTTCCACATAATTAAATTTTTTACATTTATTTATTCATTAGTTCTTTGAGAATTTTGTACAATGTAGTCATTTTCTACCTTCCCCACTTTTTCCAAGATCCACCTCCTCTTCCCAGTCCACACAAATTTGTTTCCTCTTAATTTATTTTGTAGGAAGAGGGGGGCTCACATGTCAATAAGGCAGAGGGCCGTTGAATAAGTCAGTACTCTTTTCTCATCACATGAATTCTAGGGCTCAAACTCAGGTCATCAGGCTTAGTGGCAAGTACCTTTACTCACTTAGCCATCTCTGACATCTATATAATGTTTAAAGTAGCAGGCTAGATTGACAATTTAAGTTTTCTTCACGATTAATGGTGGTTCATACCTGTGGAAGCAGTACTCAGTAGGTGAAGAAGATTGTGAATGTTCACCTAACCTAGGCTATGTAGTGTGAATTCCAGCCTAGTCTGGTCCATATTAGTAAGAGCCAGTCTCAATACCAAAACAATGCAGTGTGCTTACCGTCTTTGGCATGGCTTCATATTTTACCTCAGTAAAAGCCAAAGAATTCAGAATCACCTATAATGGACAATTATTTCCATCCTTGACTACGACTTCCCTACAGAAGAAATCTACCATATCTCCTATGACTCTACCCCTCATTGATCTGTTGTGTCTCTCTGCTTCTTTACGCAGCGCATCCCCTGTCCTGGGGGGGCACTGCTTCTTTTTTCTCTTTCATATGTGTACATCTGAGCTTGACGATTGCAGTCGGGCCACTGTGCAGCTCACTTTCTCAGTAAGGGAATATTCTGTCTTCTGTGATTCCCGCCCCCAGCATTCATCACCATCTGCCATTGATTTGTTATATTTATTAGTTGTTTGCCTTCGTCCCAAGACTGTTGTTCCTGTGACAGCACTATTTCTCATTTGTTTTATTCATAGCTATTTTGTTTTGGCACATATTAGGGGCTATATAAATACTTAGTAGCAGGAAGAAGTAATGGCTTGTGATATTACAAAATACATTTAAAATATAGGAAGAAGTGATTTAAATTTTCTCCATGAGCTAGATGAGAGATGTAGACTTTAAAATGGATCTTTTTATTATACTTTTCCATGGTTTCAAAGTCATCCAAATTTGCTTGTATGATTAAAACTATGACATTTATAATAGGCTGTGTCGGAAAGCAGTTAGGTCAAAGTGGTACTGTCTTTCTTTACCTGCTTCAATGCAAGTAGTTCAGAATCATGTTTGTTACATGCTAAGAAGGTTCTAGAATTAGGGAAAAAGATTAGCATTTGAGATTTGTTTTCTCCTATACTTCTTACTTTATTATATGCTAAAATTTCTTACTTAAAACAGATTTTGTGACATTTTCATTATCCTCAACTGTAAACTATGTGAATTTAGTAAATAGCATTCAGTGGAGTGTTTATTTGTAACACTTTACTTAATTTAGTGCACAAGACTAATTATAGATTGAAAAGACATAAATCTTAGTGTCCTCATTTACAACATGTAAGGGAATTAGATTTATTCAGCTGTTACGTGCTAAGTAACTACTACATAACATATGTATCATGGTTATGGTCTAGCAGAAGTAACTGACTTATACATGAAAGGGTAATACATCTTCTTCGATGGGGCGGGGCATTGTGTACCTAACCCAAAGACCTTCACCTGCTTGGAAAGCAAAATACCACTGACTTACATTCCAGCCCAAAATTTACAGCACTATGTTTGCTTGTGGTGCTAAGGATTAAGTCTAGTGGCTTCATGCTAGGCAAGTGATCTACTGAGTTATGTCCCATTTATATCTTAAATATATAGGTTTTGTCATCAATATTTCAGTAAAATACAAGGAGAAATGTTTTCCGCATGCCACTCTCAAACCTTAGAGAAATCAGATAGATCTGATTTGGTGTCTCAAGTCTGCCACCTACTGGCTGTATTGCTTTCAAATAAACATTTCACATTATAGATGTTATACAAACAATTTTTAGGTGTGAGATTACATACTCTATAGTGCCTACAACAGACAAAACTTATTTCATTCAAGTTTCAGATGCTGTATTATAGCTATTTTATTTAGGTCTCATATATCTGCCAAGTAATTTTTCCCTTCTGTCTTTCTAAATCATAATATATGTGTATACACACATATATAAATGTATAGTGTGTGTGTGTGTGTGTGTGTGTGTGTGTGTGTGTGTGTGTGTGTGTGTGTGTGTGTGTGTAGAACTAAGATGAAACTTTTTGCGAAGCCAGTTCTCATTTTTTTCTGTCACTATGCTGCAGGTTAGCTGGAGCTTCTGGCCACCGTCCTTTTCAGTCTTCCCAATCACAGTAGAACTGCTAGGATTACAGACATGTGCCATCATGTTTGAATTTTATGTGGGCGGCATCTAGGAATTGAGCTTAGTCTACAGGCATGGGACCCAGGGCCTTGCACATGCTAGGCACATTGTCTACAATAAATAACCTTTTCCCTAGCTTATAATATATTAGTTTTTATGTTTCAGCTATTCCATTCTACTTTAAAGGATTTCATTTTTAAACATTTAAATGTTACAAATTGTATTTAAAATACAGCTCATCTTCTTAAAGAGAGCTTAGCATTTCTAACCATTAAGACGAGATGCATTTGCCATCGTTCACAACGCTGCCATCTGCATTCAACCATCTACTGCCCTACTTACTTACATTATCATAGAAACTCTGTGTTCATTGCAATTTGATCATTGATTGCCCTACCAATGTCAACCCTGGAAAGAAAAGAAAGCAGTTGCCTAAATTAATACATTCTATGTCACTGATAAAGGGAACAGGCAAATTTCATCAGTGATCTGAAAAGTAGTTCACCACTTATTGCCAAGAGAACCTCATTTTTAGAAGTGAAAAATATTTAATTAGCAGAATAAATCATTACTATTATTGTCTATCTGCAATGATACCTTCTCTCTTATTCCTGGTATTGGTAATTTGTGTTCACTATCTTTTCCTAATCATGCTGTCCAAAGAATGCATACTCAGTTTGTCTGTATGTCTGTCTGCCAATAAATCTGTCCATTATCTGTGTCTCACTGTACATGTGTGCATGTCTCTCTCTGTGTGGAATATGTGGATGGTACGTGTACACATGTGCAG